TTTAATCAGCCACCAATTGTGCAAGTTCTCCCACTTAAAAAGATGAGAGAGGCCTGTAATTTTCATCCTAGGTACACTTCAACTATGAGAGACAGAATGGGGGGAAAGAATCCAGGAAATCACATTGTAGGATATTTAATGAATTAATTGGTAAATTCCTCGGTAAAATAAATATTTGGTCACCTACAAACAAACAAGATTTCTGGCTCTCACAGACCTGTAACTTCTTCTTTAAGAGCCTCCTCTGTCCTCCACTTGTTAACTGTATTAATGGCACCTGTTTGAACTCGTTATCAGTATAAAAGACACCTGTCCACAACCTCAAACAGTCACACTCCAAACTCCACTATGGCCAAGACCAAAGAGCTGTCAAAGGACACCAGAAACAAAATTGTAGACCTGCACCAGGCTGGGAAGACTGAATCTGCAATAGGTAAGCAGCTTGGTGTGAAGAAATCAACTGTGGGAGCAATTATTAGAAAATGGAAGACATACAAGACCACTGATAATCTCCCTTGATCTGGGGCTCCACGCAAGAACTCACCCCGTGGGGTCAAAATGATCACAAGAACGGTGAGCAAAAATCCCAGAACCACACGGGGGGACCTAGTCAATGACCTGCAGAGAGCTGGGACCAAAGTAACAAAGGCTACCATCAGTAACACACTACGCCGCCAGGGACTCAAATCCTGCAGTGCCAGACGTGTCCCCCTGCTTAAGCCAGTACATGTCCAGGCCCGTCTGAAGTTTGCTAGAGAGCATTTAGATGATCCAGAAGAGGATTGGGAGAATGTCATATGGTCAGATGAAACCAAAATAGAACTTTTTGGTAAAAACTCAACTAGACGTGTTTGGAGGAGAAAGAATGCTGAGTTGCATCCAAAGAACACCATACCTACTGTGGAAACATGGGGGTGGAAACATCATGCTTTGGGGCTGTTTTTCTGCAAAGGGACCAGGACGACTGATCCGTGTAAAGGAAAGAATGAATGGGGCCATGTATCGTGAGATTTTGAGTGACAACCTCCTTCTATCAGCAAGGGCATTGAAGATGAAACGTGGCTGGGTCTTTCAGCATGACAATGATCCCAAACACACCGTCCGGGCAACGAAGGAGTGGCTTCGTAAGAAGCATTTCAAGGTCCTGGAGTGGCCTAGCCAGTCTCCAGATCTCAATCCTATAGAAAATCTTTGGAGGGAGTTGAAAGTCTGTGTTGCCCAGCGACAGCCCCAAAACATCACTGCTCTAGAGGAGATCTGCATGGAGGAATGGGCCAAAATACCAGCAACAGTGTGTGAAAACCTTGTGAAGACTTACAGAAAACGTTTGACCTCTGTCATTGCCAATAAAGTATTGAGATGAACTTTTGTTATTGACCAAATACTTATTTTCCACCATAATTTGCAAATTAATTCTTTAAATATCAGACAATGTGTTTTTCTGGATTTTTTTTTCTCATTCTGTCTCTCATAGTTGAGGTATACCTAGGATGAAAATTACAGGCCTCTCTCATCTTTTTAAATGGGAGAACTTGCACAATTGGTGGCTGACTAAATACTTTTTTGCCCCACTGTATGTGTTAGTGTACTTGATGACAATCTACCATCCCAGGAGACATATGCTGACACTCACAGGAACATGGGTTCTGTCCAATAAATGACAAAACAGGAACTAAACGCCACTAAAGAATTGGGATTGTGTTGAGAGTCAGGGTGTGGAAACAGCATCCTCTGAGCCTCAGTGACTTCAGGACTAAAGTATCTAAAGGACTGGGCACTGCACCACGGCAGAGCATCAATCTGACTTCCACTGCCCTCCAGTCATGGCATGTCGGGCTGGGGCCACATGCATTACAGCTGAACACTAAAACTAGCCTGAGCCAAGCCACAGTAGCTGTTAATTTCTTCATGGATTTTCGAAAGCGAAGTGACGTTCCTGTCAGAGCTGCCCCAAAGCCTTGGTCTGCAGGGTTCTGGATGCAGAGCTGGCAGGACGGATCAGTACTGTGGGGGATCGGATGACATCGGATCAATGAGGGACGACCAGAGCTAGAGCACACATAGCTGTGGCTTCCCACTGGACCACAATTGGCGGGGGATGTAGCAATGCAGAGTTACGCCACTGTTGCAGAACATGAACCACATATTTATTTTCAAATCAAGGCACATTAAAAATAAGATTACGAGCTTCAGGAGTTTCTACTCAGTATAAAGGATCAGAAGTGAGAGATTCCTGAGGCACACATAAGTGCATGGTAACAGAAAGTGATCCAGCCTCATGGTCCGTGCGTCAATGCGAAACCAAACCTGCCAACCGAAGCTCATAGTCCGAGGATTTCGAGACGTTTTCTGTCAAGGCCAGATTATACAGGCTTCTTTAAACTGGTGTTGAGCGTGAACACTGACCTAGAGTCTGCGGGTTTTTTGTAACTGAGGGCTGCTCTTAGTCAGAAAGTAAGGATAGGAGAACATAAGGCAATGGTTGTCATCTTGCTAATACAAAAACTGTTCCTCTCCCCTTTTTTGGGTGAGGTCTGCTGGTGAAACCACATTTTCTATAGTCAAAGCCTAACTCATCAAGTTTGGGAAGTTAGGGCCAAGGTAGATTTGTTCAAGTTAGGTTCGGCAATTTATTAAAAAATCCTTAAATTATTCAGGATTTGCGCAATGTACATATCTCGTCTACCTCACTCCTTCATTGACTGCACTAGGGGCGATAGTTATTGACGGGGGGTTACCTTGGTTGGTGATTGGCTAAAGGTTACACAAGCCAAAAAATCGTTATGACATCATGAAGTGGACCAAATCTGATCAGCTAATTTTCAGACAGGTTTTTATAGAAATGGATCAGGACAAAAAAAGAGAGAATCTTTGTTCCTGAAACTTTCAGAGTCTCTTTCCACAGAGGGGACACATGTTGATGTAGAAGAGACATGAACAAATGGATTTTGCATAATAGGTGGAATTTAATATATGTATTTATTAATAACATAGAGTACAGGGAATATAAATATAACTTATTTTTAGCAAGTCAGAACTACACAGTAAATATGATTCAAACACAACAGCTGACACCTGCCAGGTATTAAAGTCCCACCGACGTCGGACATATGGACACCTTATATGTACTTTTATGCCTTTTTTTTATTTATTTTTGTAGCAAAAAAGTAAATCTAAATGTCTTTAACTGCATTAACTGCATGTGCTCAAATCTGTATGGCACAATGACAATAAATAACCCCTTGAATTTTGACTCTGTCATCGAATATATGGTCAAATCTACAATCCAGTTGTTCCAATTTCCTGAAGCCTTCTACTCCAATCAGATCACCAAGTACCAATTCCATCGTAACTAAAGATCTACAGAGGATAAAATAAATGCTTATTAATTGAAAAAAATAACACTTATTCCACCCCTCTTAGATTGTTTAATACTCCAAAAAGGCATTACATGAGGTCTGCCTTGAGATTGTAACACCTGTATTGCATGGTTATACTCATATATCCAGTGGGCCAGTTAACTAGCAAAGATACCTATAGGGGTATTTTTTCACACCCTAACTGCGTGAGGGGTATTATCAGAGAAACACACTTTGTTCTATATTTTATTATACTTTTATAATTTTCTAATCATAAATCTATCGATCATAAATCGATTAGATTTATGATTAGAAAATTATAAAAGTAGGGTTCACATGTGGAGATTATCCGGCTGAACAAAACGTGATCCGTCTCTTAAATGTGTGTCAACCACAGACCTTATTTCCAGCTATTTTCCAAAATCCTATGGAGAAATTGCATTGCGTTTTTGTCGAAGGATCCCATGCGCAGCTTACTTCCGGGTTTTAGGATGTGTCACTGTGGCACTCTTATTACCTTTTGAAAATAACATCTCACTTGTAAAGTCAAGCGAGTGGGATGCAAACAGTGTTGGAGGTCAAGCATAATGTGAAAACAGCACATTCCCAAAGTTCAAGTTGTCAAGTTCATGCTATGAAGGAACAAAACAAGTCTGTGTTCCAAAAGACATTCCTGAATGCAGCATTTGAAGCATGGAGAAATAGGGAGCTGTATTGGTGCTTAGTCTTTAGGGCCTCACAGACAGATTAGGGATGTAAAGTCCCTGACAACAGTAAATAAAGGTGTGTAAACCAGAACACAGGACCCCCTTTGGGTTTGCTAGAATGTTTTTGCTGTGTCAAAAGAAATGCAACAAGTTCAAAACACGTCCACTGAGGGGGTGGTTTGGAAATGCAGGTTGAAAAACACTGGGTTCATCCTTTTATGGAGAGACATGACCATCAATACTCTCTCTCTTATCATTGTCATAAAGAAAAGATGATTCCTTTACAGGGGCCCTGTTATGCTTTAGGGGTTTTTCCCTTTCCTGTGTGTTATACAGATTTGTGTGCATGTAAATGGTCTGCAAGTTCCATCCTTTGGACTTCTTTGTTTACTTCCGTGACATAGTGACATCACTGTGTAACACCCGCGTTAATATTGGTTAGCGCTCCAACATATTGTACGTGATATGCTAATCGTGGGACATCCCTAATCGGTTGACCAATCACATCAGAGCAGACTGGGCTCTGGTTTTAGACAGAGGGTGAAAAGAGGTGCTGCAGCAGTATGAGAAGAAGAAAGAGCTTTTTGAACATTAAAGCATGGAGACATGTCCCAGTAGAGACACTACATACTGATATGAAGCTGAACATTTGCTGAATAGGTCCTCTTTAATAAATATGTATTATTTGTAAAAGCTCTGGCCTGTACAGGAAGTTCGAAATGGAGGACAGGACTCTTCTCACCAGCACGTTTAAATAGGCAAACAGAGCAGAGCTAAGGATTATTGCACACAGTGACCTCATCACAGACACACTGTAACTGCTGTGTGGCTGACATGAAGCGCTGCAGCCCTGCACACGTCTCAGGTACATATGTATCATGGTTAGTACATAACAACATGAACAAAATATGAAGAAAAATGTCTCAATACTTACTCCATTGATTTGATAAGCTATTCATATGCATCTTGCGAGGATGGTGGAAGCCTCTGTGCAGAAACTGAGGAGGAACCACATACATGCAACAGCACATGAGCACACAGCACAGACAGGACTGTTACCACAACAACACACACTGTAAGGGCAACACTGAAAACATGACACGAGGACACATGACGATCAGACATCGCAGACACAGTCAAATAAACACGGAGTGTAAACCTTTCAGGATGGCAGCACAAATGGGGCGAAGCCTGCGAGCTAGTTCAGGCAGTCAACTGGAGCACCAATGATACATTAACACGTGACGCGCCTCGTCCCTCTTACAACCAACCAAACACATTCTCCTAAACATGCCGCTCTATTTAAGCTGCCAGGTTTTCCTGCCTCTGCCTCGCTCATGCTGCTGCTGCTGCTGCTGCTGCTCTCCTGCCCCCCCCCCCCCACCTTCCACCTGTAGGCTCGGGGATAGTTATCTAATCATCACTCAATGTTCTTTGTAAATCTGTGGAGTGATGAGGCCCGAGCCTAGACGCCAAACTCAAACTATATGCTGCTTCTAATACACATTAAGAAACACGTGAGTTGTCTGGCTGAACTTCTCACATCGTGGTCTGAACAGATATCCATTACTTTCACAAAACAATCTAAGACCACTGACAAAGACAGGGATGGATTCAAACTGATCTGAGGGGTGCTGTTGAGTAGGGCTGCTCGATTATGGCAAAAATCATAATCTCGATTATTTGGGTCAATAATTTTAATTGCGATTATTAAATGCGATTATTCATTGACTTTGAAAACATCCATTTATTGTATTTTAAAACAAATACAAATAATAATTTGAACTATTTAACTGTTGAATTATACGTTCACGGTAATCAACTGAAAAACCAATACAAAATAAAATAAAATAAATTATACATTCATATCTACATTTAAATAAATAATATCAAAATAATATATACCAATAAACAAGATCAACAAACATGTTGCAGTGCACTGTCACAACCTACTGAAAACTCCTTAACATATAGCCAACATTTTGGTTCAACATATTCCACTCAGTTAAACGTTGAAGGCTGGCCCACCGTCATGGTCCAGAAGTAACAGGAAATAAATGTTGAACTACAATTTAAGACCAAATAAAAACGTTTGGGCCACCATGGCAAATGCTGGTAGGGCTGCTCATGTCGTCTCTTAAAGATGTTTTTGCTAGAAACTAGGGCTGCTCGATTATGGCAAAAATCATAATCTGGATTATTTGGGTCAATAATTGATATCACGATTATTAGAAACGATTATCCATTTACTTTGAAAACATCAATTTATTGGAGAAAATTGTTTTGAACAGTATGTTTTGAACAGTTGATTACCCTGAACTTTAAGTAGAACTAAACTGAAAAACCAATACAAAAAAAAGAATTCATAAAAAAAAAAAGAATTAATTAATAATAATAATAAAAACATAATCGTTATATTTCAATGACGTTGTTTTCGTAATCGTAGCAAGCCATAATCGTAATTGCGATTACTGTTGAGCCCCCCACAACTTATTTAGCTGAGAAAGCAATAATGTATACCCTACAATATGTTTGCTATGTGTCAGTTAAAAAGAATAGCTGCAAGTTGTCCTGAGAAAAGATGTGATCAGCAGCTAGTCTCTAACTGTGTCAGTCTGTTTGCTGCTAGCAGGTCACATTCAGTGATGTTACTGTATAAGGGTCCTGCCAGCTGGAAACAACGTTGATTAGTACACGTCTTATTTGAATACTCAGTTCTGATTGGTCAATTTCGACTATTTCTCTATATCTAGA